GGGGGCCGGGCAGCGGGGCGCAGAGGCGCCTCCTGGGGGTGGGGGCAGAAGTCAGCAGCCACCTCCGCAGGGTGCGGGGGAGGGATGCAGTTGACCCTGGAAAGAGCCCAGGCAAATGAGAAACAAATCCTGGGGGGACCTGGGGTCAGGCAGAGGTGGGGTTCAGAGCCTCTGACCCGCGTGGGGGGGACCGAAGTGTCTGAAGGGGGAAGACAAAGGAGGGAGCCATCTGGTGTCTGGGGTCTGGGAAGTGGGTGGGGAGGAAAGGGCAGGGGCTCCCCTTCTCGGGGGACCTGGCTGGCGCCCCTGTTGCTAAGACAATAAATACAAACTGCAGTGGAGTTCTGTCCAGATCCCTCCCGGCCCCCGACAGGGCAGATCCTCAGAGGTCAGGGTCAGTGCAGGTCTGAGGGGCATCATCATTTCATCATTGAGGACGGCCAGTCCCCAGGCCAGGAGCAGTGAGGGGCAGGCATCCCAGGTCCGCTCTGGCTCCGTGTGCAGGCGACCACCCCGAGGCGCATCTGAGGCCTCTACAGGTGCTGGACCCCTGGCCCTGGGCACAGACCTCCCCCACCTGTGCGCACCGGTGGTGACATGGGGTCCCTGATCTGGGGCTGCAGGGTGGCACCCGGTGCTGCGCCCCTTGCCTGTGCCTGGGCTTGTAAGGGAGGGTGTGAGAGCAAAGAAGAGGGGGATTGGGAAGGGACTGGGAGGAGGCCAGACCCAGAGTGGCGGTGGGGGAAGGGGAGGGAAAGGCTGGAGTCCCCAGGGGCTTCTCAAGCCCCGCCCCACCCTTTTAACTCAAAGCCTTCAGTGGTGTTGCATCCACTTGAGCTGCTGCACGGTGACACCCCAAGCAGGCTGACCCTCCAGCGTCCAGGACCGAGTGTCCTTCCCGTGTCCGTTCCCACTGGGGATTCGCAGCCAGGACACTGGGTCAGACCGTCCACCTGGCAGGCCCTGGCGAAGGGGGCTGCTTGCCCACCTGGCTGGGGTGGGCATTCTTCACCAGTCAGGACACAAAAGGCAAAAAGGTGGGGTGAGGGCTGGGGTCAACCTGGGGAAGGCCTTGATGGTGCTCAGTTCTTATCAGGTCCTCTCACCTCCCACCAGAAGGTCATCTGAGAGGGGGCTCGCATGGACGGCTGGAAGGGACCCACTGTGTTGAGGGCCCAGCCTTCAGGCCTGCCTCTCCCGCTGCTCCATGCAGTTGGGCTGGGCCCAGAGAGGCTCAGCCTCCAGGGAAGTCCAGGGCCTGACCGCAGGGCCAGCGCACCGGTCCCAGCCCCTCTCCCGGGCTTACTCTAGAGCAGCCCTGGCAGGAGTGGCCTGGGAGGGCCGAGAAGGACAGTCCTGTAAAAGGTGGGGTTTCTGATTTTATTTTTCTGCTGTAAACAGGACTTCATTTTCTGAAAGAAAATAGCAAAAAATAGCCAGTGTTGCTGGCTCCGAGTGCCAGGCCCTCTGCAGCCAGAACACTGCTCCCCTGGGCCCTGCCCCACCTCGGGCCGCAGCCCCCAGCACCGGCCCGCAGGCTCCACCGACAGCCAGCTCCGCACGACGTGGAAGGAGCCTGAATCCCACATCCAGCTCATCCCTGGCCTGCACTTTGCTCGGATCGATAGATGGTGGGGGTGGTGTATGCATGGTCTTGCCCGCTCACCGCTACCCCCAGGCACAATGGGCCTCCGCCCACCTCACAGGCCGGTGTGGCCCCCTCCTCCAGGCTGGGGAGCAGTGCCACACGCACTCGGCCAAGCCGCTGCGCACTCCTCCAGCCCATGTTCAGAGGGTTAAAAATAATGCGTTAGTAGAAACGCAGAAGGAACAGCATTTTCCAGTTTCTCCCAGGCACTGAAAGCCCTGCAAATAGCAATGCTTGCCGAAGTGGCTAGTGAGGGTGACCCTCCACCCAAGGATGAGGAAGATTCAGGAAAACGCAGACCCTGTGTCTTTAAAATGCTGTCAGAGCTGGACTGCGTAATAAAGTCTCAGAAAAATATTTAAATCAGCTCTGGGCAGCTCTACCCCCCAGACACTGGAGAGAATACTTGTTTGATGATTGAAGCTGGGAGGGGGGTCCAGGCTGTCCTTTAAAAACTTAAGTTGGTTTTAACTGAAGCACCTACCATTCTGGGGAAAGCGAAGGGGGAATGGGAGACGCGCACAAAGCGGGGGTCACTGATGTCACTGTGAGCGCGGGCGGCATCCCTCACACCCACCCTTGTCTTAGCAAAGGTGCTGTTCTTCTCCTTTTAACTCAAAGCCTTCAGGTGAAAATAAAGCAACAGCAGCAACAGAAAAAAAATCTAGTCTTTTTTAGGGTTAACATCAGAAGCGAAGCTGTGCCGCTTTGGCCAATCAGATGCGCCCCTGCCAGCTATAATATAGTACTGAAGACAGCCTCTCGCACAGCTCTCCAGGCTTGCTACCATTTAAAATCAGACTCTTTTTGTCTTTTGATTGCTGTCTCCCGCCCCAACTCAGATGTGCTCCGTTATCAGCGACCAGCAGCCTGCCGCTCCAGCCCCCGTCTGGGTGGGGATCGGCAGACAGTCCCCGGCACTGGTGGCGGGCAGGGTGCTATAGAAAGAGAAAGAGCGAGGCAGAGAGCGAGCGAGGGAGCCAGCAGCGAGCCCAGCGAGGAAGGGAGGCGCACAGGCACACACACCCGCGCTCTCGCGCGCACAGACCTGCACGGGGACGGCTGGGAAGTCACTGGGCTCCATGGACGAGATGCTGCTGCTGGCGAGATGTCTGCTGGTGCTGCTGGTGTCCTCGCTGCTGCTGTGCTCCGGGCTGGCGTGCGGACCGGGCAGGGGATTTGGGAAGAGGCGGCACCCCAAAAAGCTGACCCCTTTAGCCTACAAGCAGTTCATCCCCAACGTGGCCGAGAAGACCCTGGGGGCCAGTGGAAGATACGAGGGGAAGATCTCGAGAAACTCAGAGCGATTTAAGGAACTCACCCCCAACTACAACCCCGACATTATATTTAAGGACGAGGAGAACACGGGAGCCGACCGCCTGATGACTCAGGTAGAAGCCCAGCGCGGGGAGTGGGGTGTGTGGTTTAGGGGGGTTCTGTGAGACCAGGCAGTCCAGACGGGTGTTTGCTCTGGGGCAGAGAAAGGCGATTTCCCCCTGGCCTTCCCCACCCACCTGTCCACCTGCCATCTTCCACTTCCTGGAAGGAATGCAGGTGAAGGGTCCAGCTGAAAACTTCGGGTGGGGGTGGGGGAGGCGGCCGGGAGACCTGGTCCAGGGATGGCCCTGATTTGATTTCTCTGGCTGGGATGGCCTTGCCATCCTGCCTCAACTCTGGCTGGTGACTTGGGGAGTCCTTCCCTTTGGGAGTGTCTGCCCTTTCCAAGTTTGGAGTGGAAATGAGGGAAGGGACAGAAATCCCCCATAACCACGGAGTGTCTCGAGCTCCCTGCACCAATGTGGCCTCAGCATCGTCTCAGAGCCTGCTCCCTCCTCGGCGCTGTCCTCCACCACACCCCCAGCCGCTGCCCCTCGGGCGGCGGCGGCGGCGGCTAAAGACCAGCTGAGCGGAGGCAGGGCTCAGAGGGGCCTGGCTCGTCCCTGGCCTGTCACCAGCTCCCCTGCGCCTCCGCGGTGACAGTGGTGCTGGCAGGGTGTGAATGTATCGATATTTCTTTAAGGATGTGCGTTCACGCTCCTGCCGGGTACCTGAGGGGAGGGACTTAGAACTTATTGGCACCGCATCAGGCCGGTTTGCAACCCGCTCGCCCGGGGACTCTCCAGGGGCTGAGAGAGGAACCGGGCAAACCTGCGTCCCCTCTCCCTCGCCGCTGCCGCTGGAGACGCCGCCTGCCAGCTCCCGCCCGGGGTGGGCTGTCTGAAACTCCGAGCACGTAGAACTGAAGCTAGAAATGGATTTCCTGGCAAATATAGGTCAACATCCTTTTTATTGCCCTATTAAAATAGTCAAGTCCTACCTTTAGGGCTAGGAGCGCAGAGCAGCTGACTGCGCGGCGCTGAAGGGGCCCTGGGACCTTTCAGTCCGCAGGCCGACGCTCTATCCACTGAGCCAAACCGGTTTCGGCTTATTTTTATTTTTAAAATATATTTTTATTTCAGAGAAGAAGGGAGAGGGAGAGAGAGATAGGAACATCAATGATGAATAAATATTGACCAGTTGCCTCCTGCACGCCCCCTACTGGGATGGAATCCCCCAACCCGGGCATGTGCCCTGAACAGGAATCAAAATGGTGAAATCTTGGTGGTCAATGCTCAACCACTGAGCCACACTGGCCAGGCGGGGACCAAAACCATTTAAATGGTTTTGAATGGAAATTTA